TAAAATTCAAATTTTCAATACAGATTATGAGATACATAAAAAATATTAAAGAATAAGAAGCTTTAATTAAAAAACAAACAAAAAAAACGCATACATATACAAATTACTTACAGTCGAGCATCGGGAAGTCTTACGAAACTTTAATTTGAAAACGATATTTGCGCGCGCTGAAGTGATTGTTTATTTGAAAAATAAAAAAAAAAGAACTTTTATGTTTGTGTTCTAAAAATAATCGGCGGCATAAGAGGAATTTCTTATTCATTTTACAACACTTGAAAAATTACTACAGAAAATGTGTTGTTGTTTTTTTGTTTTGTTTTCAACAAAAGTGTGTGTGTTTTAAGTTTATTTATACTCGGCGCCGGAATAACCATATGTCCGAGATTATAGCATCTGGGACGTCTTTTTCAAGCAGATTCTTCCTGGAAGCCCATTCTTCGTTCTTTGGTGGTAAAGGAGACGACAATACCGTCAAGGCATAAACTTTCTGACTGACGACAACAAAAACGGCATCTATTAGCGCCAAACCTCCAGAGTAAGTCACGACAGGTCAACCAATCACCTCTGGTACTATGATGACTTGACTATGACCTTCCGTGTGCCTTCTCCGCGACGTGCACGCCTCTGGAGGGATTTGGAGAAGTTTCAACATAAACTTCCAAAACATGCCATTTATAACACCATTCATAGCACTGACGGCTTCGATGTTCTCATCTATCTGCGGGAAATGGTCGACAGGGAAAACCCTACGTAATAACCGCGCACACCCTGTTAACAACAGATTTTCCGCAGTATATATTTCAAGCTAGTGAGGTTTAAAAATACACGTAGAATCTATCGATTAACTACCATAAGTTGGTTGAGTGTTGGCGGTAAAAAAAGAAGATATAACTTCCTGATCAATTTTCACTTGATTCAGTTTTGAATAAGCTTTGCAGATATGTATTTTTTCAAGAAATATTTAGCTTTAATATTATCCGACGCCGTCAGTAATGAAATGGGAATAATTTTCTGAAACGTGATTTTATTCGAGATTTGCTTCTGGAGAAGACAACCTTCTGTCCGTAGAGCATGAATATTAATACTCATCACAAGACAGTATCTTATTGATCTCAATTATGGTACATCTAAACGTGTATAATTTTTATGTTCAATAAAAATGTTGCATCACTTGCAGTTGTTATTATCATTCAATAATATTAAAATGACATAAAGTATTTATGATGAACAGTCCTAGAATATTTTGATAAGGAACCGTCAGTTGTAAAATGTTATTGTTATCTGATAATGAACAGTCGTCATACTTGCTGGTATGTCATTTACTATTGACAGTTTAGGTTTTTCAAAATTTGCATGATTAACAGTCCGAATGTAGACCTCAATGAAATGTTCTGGAATATTAACAAAATGAATAGTCAACCACATTAACCATATATATGAATGGTTGAACACAACAGTAAGGATAAATAGCGCAATGTGCATATCTTTTTATTTTGGTAGCATATTTTAAGCAAAAAGAAAAGAAACTATAAGTCTGAAACATTCTCTCATAGCCTCCCCATCAGTACATTCAGTGCTTTGATTATCATATGGAACCTTAGTAGCCTTGTTTAGAACCAGATGTCCTTATATGAAGCCGAATTATCAATATATTTAAGAAATAATATCGGCCTTATCGGTGTTTATCGGCTATTTAATACCTGGTTGGAGTTTTGATGCGTAGAAATTGACCACGAAGGCCGTAGATCTGAGTGGTTAATTTTTTTCGCATCAAAACGACAAAACCTGTGTTAAATAGCCGATAAACACTGCTCAGACCGATATTAATTATTTCGATTCTAACAAGACAAAGTAAGGAAGATCACAAATGTTCTTTTTTCAAACGGAAATACTTCCGGTGCCGATTATCGTATAACGCTGGTCGATTTCGCACCACCCTACTGTTGCTAAGATATAAAAATTATAATCAAAAGAAATAATAAGAAAAAAAGTTATTTATCAAGTTTTCAACAATAAAAACTTACGTCTCAGACAGGATGTTTGGAATGACGTCATTCTGGGCGTTTATGAATGAGTTGTGTACTTAATGATGACGTCATTACGCTGCTTAAGGATTGCAGCCGTTTTATCAAAAGATATTTACTTATATGGATCAAATCTGTGACATGTTATTCAGTATTTTATGGAAAAAAAAACATTATAATAACTGAAAATAGGACTAAAATGTTTTTTATTGTGGCTTTAAAAGGCTGTGTAAACTAAATAATCGAGGGAGAAAACATAACAGCCGCATATACAAGTAGTCCCTTGCCAGTGTTTATTGTCAGTTTAACCCCGGATTTTTTTCTGCTTTGTCTATAGTGACAAAATCACGAGGAGTGTTAGAATAATAAATTTTCAAAATATATGAAACTATTTTATCAATGTATGGAACCGTATAGTTAATATATAAAATTATGTTGATTTTCATATTATAGAAAGCATATATGGAATAGTATGTGATTTTATAAAACTGGTATCATATTATGTAATAATCAACTTAATATATATTGGTACTTCGGTTTCATACATTGATTAAATGGTTTCATATACATTTGTGTATTGTAAAAATGAATTAATATATTGATAACTCAGTTTCATATAAGGACATATGGTTCCATATATGGCTACTTTGGCACCATATATTGAAGAATTGGTATTATATACATGTAATGCCAAATTCAACTTAGATATTGATACTTTTATTTCATACACGGACGACATGATTTTATATATTGAAAAAATGAATTAACATACATGTATTGATAATTTGGATTCATATAAGGTTATCTGGTTCCATATATTGCTACTTTGGTATCTTATAGAAGTAAAGAAGAATTTATATCATATATTGAGAAAATCAACTTATATAAAGCTACCTTGGTTTCATAAACTGACTGCATGCATGTTTTGACATATTATTGTAACTGTGGATTTATGTTATGGTTTCAGGTTTGATAAGAAGGTGTTTTAAAATAATTCTTAAATTGTCAAAGTGAACCACATGGTAAATACATTTTAAAAAAAGGACAATATTGTATGGCTTTCCATAAACAAGTACTGGTTTATGAAACTTGCGTACTTGCCACAAATTGGTAGAAGAAAAAAATGCTTAACCTTCATCTGAGAAATCTAAGATAAATGAATAAAAACCAAGGTTACGTCAATCTAACATCTGTTCTGACAAAACATGTGCTGTTTTTATTGGCTGTCGTTTCTGTTTGAAGGCTTTTCCCACGATGTGGATGTAAACAATAAAGGAAACCAAACTATGATATCCAGTTAGTGCCACATTTAATGTAGATATTTATTCGACAATCAACACAACGCAGGACACAACATTATGTAATGCATTGCATTGCATGTCAGTGCACATTCATTATTTGTATGTTATATTGTAGTCATACGTGTTATGCGAAGTGTCGAATGCAGATATCAGATGTCACTTTGCATTATCGTTGCAACGTCATATATCTAAACTGTATACTATGGCACTAAACCGGATTTCGTAAGATACAGGAATACAACGTGAAGAACTGTATATTTCCGAATATAAGCCCCTTTCCATGGCAATGTCTATTTGTTTTGTTTGAAAAATCCTGATCCTATCTCTATTATGCGATAAAGTTACATAATGTAAGTAGATGACAACGACTTTGGTAAATATATATCAAGCGGACGAAGTCCGTCTGTTATCAGTTGAACTTCCTGAAAAATTACCAGGGAAGGACTGAATACAAAAATAATTTTCATTGGTCATTTTAGAATTGCAAACTGAAATCGGTGAATCTCATTGGCCATTCTTAAATAAAATGTAAAGGAAAGTTCTAACCATTCTATAATAAAATGTTAAGGATAGTTCTTACCATTCTAAAATAAAATTTTAAGAGAAGCTTTAAAATAAAATGTATGAGATAGTTTTTGTCATTATAAAACAAAATTTTAAGGAAAGTTCTTGAATAAAATGGACAAGAATTATGATAGTTCTTTAACTTGTTGGTTAATTTGTTTACGATAACAAAATTTATAACGTCAAACGTAAAACAAGTGACGAGACACCTAAAATAGAAGTTGTCCTACCTTGAAAAAAATCATCAATATAAGTGTGCTATTATTTAATTATAATATTTACAAAATGGGAATTTTCATCGCTATAAGAAATAATTATTACGTCATTGTTATGCAAGCACTTCTAACATTTCTTTTTGTATCGAAAACTAAGAAATAACATAATTTTGCATGCTTATCAGTTTTAATTTGGCCGAGTACCTTTTTGAAAGATACTGATTTTTTTTTGTTTTGTCGTGTTTTTTGTGGGTTTTTTTGTTGGTTTTTTTGCCATTGCAAAACAGGTTTGTTTTAAAATAATATTAAGTTTCAAATAGTTAATACATGGCTGCATCGGAAAGGGGGGACTTAGTATCGATGGAGTGGGGTGTTAAATAGGAGAAATACGGTACGCTTAATGCTACCAGAATATATACACAAAACTATATAATTTTATTTATATAGTATCAATGCAAAATACCGATGATTACATTTCAACTTCTTGATTTCTCGGTTTATCTTCGCGAATTCACAATTTCACCTTCATGAATTCGCGATTTCAACATGCAGAACTTACGAATTCACTTATTCAACTTCACGATTTCAAATTCGTGAAGGTTAAATCTTGATTTCGTAAAGTTGAAATTGAGAAGTTCAAAACAAGAATTCATGAAATGATATCGTGAATTCGTGAAATTGTAATCGTGAATTCATTAAGTAACAAAGTTGAAATCGTATATTTTGATGTTGAAATCGTGAATTCATGAAGTTTAAATCGTAAATTTTATGAAGTTGAAATCATGAATTCGAGAATTCAGTATGTTGAAAACGTAAATTTATGAAGTTTAAATTGTAAATTCACGAAGATGAAATCGGAAATTGAAATGTCCCTACCGGTCTTTCGTACTGTAATTAGTAAATGATAAGAAGAAAATTTATCGTTGATTTTGTATCTTTTGTTTGTTTAACATTCTAGGTAAACGGTGAAATAAACCAATATACAGACAAGTGAGCTCATAGCTGTTTTTCTTCTCAAAAGTGATTTTGATATGTTTAAAAATAGTTATTTCAAGAATTTTTAATTTCAAACGTTACATTGAATTTTCAAGATATTTTTAACGTAAGCGTTATGAAAACGATTATCAATGTAATGGAAAATACAGTGGCAATTTTCTTCTTTATTTTTTTATTTGTTTCTATGATGGATGCAAAAAGGAGAGACAGATTTGATATCATAGAAAAAAGAATTGGTGGTGTAGAAACACGAATAAGTATAGTTGAAACACGAATAAATTCTGACAACGAACTGGCAAAATCATTGCAACAAAACTTCGAGGAGCTTAATAATTCTGTGATAAATTTCAAGGATCAAATGTGTCCCACAATGCATCAACAGACAGGAAAAGAGAAGCAGACTAGTTCTCCAAAACGTGTTGAACTTCTAAAGTCAAGCCGAATACTAGTGTCTTTAGGACTTAATAGGGAAAAACAATGGACAAGAGATCAAGTGGAAAAGCTTACGGGTCAAGTGAATGATCAAACTGATCTGCTAAAAAGGAACTTCTCGGAGCTTAAAAACGAACTCAAAGTTGAAAAAGAAGAATTGGAAAGCAATCTAGAAGTGATAAATGCAAAACTTGATGAAAAAATCCAAACAAAACTGAACAAACTGGACGAAATAATCACAAATAATGTTATAGATATCACCCAAGTGTTTCTAAAGAGTCACACCACAGAGAAGCTGATAAGTACCCAGCAGAGAGAAATAGAAGCTTTAAAAGAAACTCAAGCAAAACTTTTAAATGCTTTAATTTCTACAAAATTGGTAAATTATGATTATACATGTCTATCGGACTGGACAAAATATTCATCGTACTGTTATTTGGTTGTTCATGAGTTAAAAACGTTCAATGAAGCTCGTGCCCATTGTAAGCGACTAGAAGCAACCGTGTCCGACATTGAAAATGAAGCAGAGAATACCTTTATCATGAGGTTTAAAGTGCGTGATTATTTTTATGCATGGATCGGTTATTCTTACGAGAAAGAGGAGGGTACTTGGATATCAGAAAGAACTGGTCAACATGCATCATTCACGTACGTATATTTTGAAAACAATCAAGGTAATGATTGATCCCTCGGAAGCTTTAATGACAAACAATGCATGCAAAATTGCAAACTCGGTTTGAGTGTGTATACCTGCGGGATAATAAAAAGTGAATATACCTCACGCTCCATAAAACTGACTTGAGCAGTACTCAATAATTGATAATTATTTTACTAGTAAAAGTTTACCTTTTACTGTTTTACTTCGTTTACTTCAGTAACGAAACAGTTACATTTGTAGCAAAAATATTTACGATATGATTAATGATATTAAACAGAGTCACGCTATAAACAGCGTACTTATAATGAAATTTCTTGCAGTCAGTCATAGACACGGTATATAAAGGTGATCGCTAATTAGTAGATATTATGCATTAGTGAAGTCAGCTATGGGGAAAATTTTAGTCTTGTTTTTGTTTACTTATTTTGTTCTAACAAAATTACACAGTGATAAAATTACTTTTCTGATCAACATGTCCCCGAGGGTCATGGCATTAAATAAACGTTCAACAAAAGTGATTCTTCAATGGTTAAATATCACATTCTTTTAATTTTCATCATTTTTTATAATTTACCAATAGAATATCGTCTATATTCTAAAGCAGGAAATTATCGAGCGAAATATCCTCGGCTATTATCAATATCAACAGAAAGAACCGAAGTTGCGGTTGAGGAAATAAGGGTATAATAGCATAATTCCTTCAATTACCGTAATGCATTTTCAATCTTTATTAAGTGGTCATTGTATCGACGATATATAGAATATGTTTAACAACAAACACGGATAAGTGTAAACTTGCATTTTGAAAATAATAAAAAGGGGTTGAATTGAAAATCTTAAATCTAGTATACAATCATTTAACCTTTTACCCCATGAGCATATTGCGAAAAATGGCCGTTTTCATTGAAAAGCCTCCTGCAACAAGTTCAAACTGCTATGAAACTTTGAAAAATGCTTCAATACTTGGCACAAATGTTGACTCAACCATAGTCTCTGTAACAGCATGCTCAATCATAAATTTCCTGTTACTTTAGCAACGGGGGACGACTCAAAATTGCGAAAAATCAGTATTTGGCATTATTTTTTCCATCAAAACTAATTTCAAGGTGATGTAACTTCTCAATGAATTGTTATTAGTTACCCTAAGATCGACCGTAGGCCATTTTTAGCCTCTCACATGTCCAAAATTTTCGTGGCGATGAGGGGGATTGCGACCCCCCCCATCAAACCCCCCAAACAGAAGGGGGCACATCCCCCTTCTGGCAACCTCCTGATGTAACATTTGGATAGGAGACGGCGCCGAAAAAGTGGTCACTTTTTTAACAACATTTCTCAAACGAAAAACAGTGTTTGGGGCAAAAATAGGGCATTTCATCACTCTTTGAGGCCTCAAGATGGGGGTCAAAAAGCCGTCGAAACACGCTTATATAAGGGAAAAAGTTAACAAAAAATGGTTAAAAACCTTGGAATTACCCCAAAACTGGTTTTTCAATGTTAACATGTGCCCTAACACCTAATTTTGGTGAAAAATTGTTGTATTTTTGACATTTTTTTTAAATTAATTGTGCCTCAGTCAGTCGGGGAGTATTTCTTTATACTGTAGGCTAGGTGTATTTTGGTAATTTTTAACCCTAATACCTTTTTAGGTGTTTAAACAACACATACTGTCGCGGTATAGATGGATACCGAAAATAAGCTATTTTTGCGAAAACAAGTTCGCGGCTAAGAAAATAATATTTATCCTTGAAATAGTGCATTTATCTGTATTAAAAGATATGTTAATCATATATTTATGCATTCTTTGAATGATTTTACAGCAAATCAAAATTTCAGAATAAAAAAATATCTAAATAAAATGCAGTTTGAGCCAAAAATACATACGTACGAAAAATCACAAATGGCCGTGTAAAGCGAAAATTAGTTCGGGTCTACGAAATTGATATAATTGACGTATTTTTGTTGTTATTAAATTTTTATATAGGTTATGAACCATGTTTACAAATCTTATTTTCGTAGTCGCCTTCTTGGGTTATTTTAGCATGCACAATTTCTATACATTACTGTCATTACTATTTTTGGTAATTAACCATATGGACCGAACAAACGTGTAATATTTCATTACAAAACATTTCATTCTTTATTATTTCATTCACACGAATCATTTAATAACAACAAAATACGTTAAAAAGTTCAATAAAAACTAGTTTCTTTCTCTACCTCTGTTTTTGTCTTCAATTTATTTTAAGTATACCAATCATTTCATTTTTATTTGATAACAAATTTATTTTGCTTGGAGCAGATCTTTCAGTCTTTGTCAAAACAGACAAACATTGTTTACTGAGTACTCAGAATTTCTGGCATTTCTTTGCGAATTTATGCATAAGGTTGTACACCCAGGCGCCCGGGTTCGATTCCTTGCACCGGAACACGCTTTTGTTCTCAAGATTGTTTTCGTCTTCATTTATTAAACAAGCAGCACATACAAAAAACTTAAAAAAATACTAAAAATTGATTACTGCTTCGGATATTCAACTGAAGTTTTGTACATTAGCTGTGACTGTTCACAGCGTCTTCGATGTGCAGCATCAACATTTAACTTGTTATAACTGCAAATAGGCTCTTACTCGGCAGTAATTAGTGTAGCCGCTTTTTCATGAAGAAACCAGTGCTGATAGTGAACAGGGCTGGGAATCAAAACTGCGTCGTATCCTACAAAATGTAAACAAACGCCGCCATCTTGGAACGAAAAACGTATGTTTTTGTTTATAACTCTTTTTGTTGGAAATGACTGAAAACCAGATATATGTATTAACACGCTACACTATTTTCCGCTTCGTTCGGTATATGTTGCTTGCACAACTATTTTGTAAAACAAAAGTTATAGCGAACTTGCATCTCGAAGCGGGGCAGAATTATTATGAAAATGTGTAGATACGACGCAGTTCATATTGCTTTATCTATCGTTTTTTCCTTCAAATCAATTATATATTTGTTTCAGAGTTCACCATAAACTTCGAAATATAATTTTGCATCATTTACTAAAATTTCATTAAAAAGAGATGTTTATTTTCTTAGAAAATAATGATTTTTACGAAATGATACGACGCAGTTGAAAATAAAATATGATACGACGCAGTTGTATTTTTGGCAGTCTTTTCAACAGGGATAGTTTTGGCAAAATATTTCTATTTTATGGGATAATCACTTGCGCTATATAAAAAACCCCAGATCATTTGCGGTGTATAGCAATGTTCTGTTGCTTTTGATTATTTAGAATAAATTGTGTCATGTCCAATATAACATTTAATTTGAAAGTTTACATTGCGGAAGCTACTTTTCAGATAAACATGATCATGTCACCTAATTGATCATAATATCTGAAATAATTTCTTATATTTTCCTGTATGTTCAATATTATCCCTAATTCTTTTTCGCAAAAAAATACAAATATCTATTAACTTGAATTCGTGTTGGCTAGCTACGCTCTAAGTTAACTGTGGTTCTGCATGTTCTTTTTGGTGCTAGGGGGCGTGGACGGTAACTTGCATTTTCCAGTACCGTCCATGAACAGGCTCAATCAAACCGAGCCTGCAACATTTTCAATTTTGCCGTGTTGGGCTTTCTTTAGGGATTCTGCATTTATCTATTTTAGCTTTAATAGGGGCGAGGACCTCAGGTGCGCCTTTGTGCATTATTTCAGGCAAAATATTGCACCTGCAGATTTTGAAACTAGCTTGATAGGTTTTCCACACGAAAGAATAAAAAGTCCCTAGTAGTTTTCGAATTCATAGCAGGTCAATTCAAGTGATTTGAATTCAATAAACATAAACAGCTCGGCCACGGTCGGACACACCTGTCTCATTTGGTTTTTCAACAAAATTTGTTAACGTCAGCTGTACAAATAAGCAGCTTTTTTATTGACTTCTGGCGTGAAGTTTTAAGATTATAAATAATTGAATTAATTATTAAGAGAATAACATTTAATTTTCTTATTTCGGTATGACTAGCAGAGAAATGTTCAATGTAAACAGGGGGTAATCCTCTGTGAAGTCATTTTCTGAAAACCTTTGTTTAAGGTTACAGGCAATTCATTATCAAATAAAAATCACACTTTAGTATGAAGGTATGTTAAGATGCCATGTCTCTAGTCTGTTGAAAATTCGATGCTATAATCTGACCTAAATTTACTGTTCAGTATTGTGAAAACTTCTTCAATACTGTTGAAAGATCATGCCTGTCTATATCTGTATCAAATTTATCGGTGCAAAGCGTAAAATACCTTTGCAAAACGTACACCTTCTTTACAAAATAATCTGTAGTTGTATCATATGTAACTCGATTTTGAAAATTTGAAGATTTTTAATGGAGAAGAATGATACTTAAGTGCAAATATAGAAAATACATTCCGTAGACCTTTCCTCATCGGCGATAAAGAAATGCAATACGACAAAATCAGAGGTAAAGTTCCGCGGCGCTGAACATAAAATGACTAAACGGAACGCATAACGTACTTGCAAAAATATCTTGTAGCTTAACCATTTTTAATATAAATTAAAAAATTAATGTTCAGTTTCAAATAATAAAGCTCATCTGTTCTCACCGATTATTATAAGAAAATGAATACAATAAAATCGGCACGTAAAAGACATAAGTAATAACGGAATTGACGAAAATTATTGCTAATTACAAGTAACAAAGGTAGGCATGCAATTTGCGCATAGCTCTCTTCCGATAGCAAGAGACCTTTTCAAAATTTGTAATTCTTTCTCTTTTTTTAGAAAAAAACAAGGTCATTCCTGATTAATACTAGTACAGGGTCCAGGAGAGGTTACACTGGAATATTGAATTTTGTATCAAAAATAGTAATCACTCCCATTTCGAACTCACGGGAACAATTTTAGAAGCATGCTAAGGCAACACTGGAACACGTTGACATATGGGAGTGCGATCACCTGTTTCAATGTATATTGCATTTGATACAGCTTTTCGGAATTTGTAGATGCTTATGATGGGTACTTAATTTCGACCGAAAAATACAGCCTTAATATAATTGTATTACATTTTCATTTTTATGGAACCAATGAGTGACCTCTGCTTTTACTTAAGTTGTAAACAAGAAATGTTGTTGGACGTAATTAGCATACCTAGCGCATAATTTAAACAGTTTAAAACCAATATGCAGCCTGCAATGAAAATACAGCTGCGTCGTATCATATTTTATGTTCAACTGCGTCGTATCATTTGGTAAAAATCATTATTTTCTTGAAAAATAAACATCTCTTTTTAATGAAAATTTAGTAAATGATGCAAAATTATATTTCGAAGTTCATGGTGAACTCTGAAAACGAGTATATAATTGGTTTGAAGGCGAAACGATAGATTAAGCAATATGAACTGCGTCGTATCCACACAATTTCATAAAAAATCTGCTCCGCTTCGAGTTGCAAGTTCGCTATAACTTTTGTTTTACAAAATAGTTGTGCAAGCAACATATACCGAACGAAGCGGAAAATAGTGTAGCGTGTTAATACATATATCTGGTTTTCAGTCATTTCCAACAAAAAGAGTTATAAACAAAAACATACGTTTTTCGTTCCAAGATGGCGGCGTTTGTTTACATTTTGTAGGATACGACGCAGTTTTGATTTCCAGCCCTGAGTGAAAATTGTGATTGGCATATTTTAATTAGCCAGGTCAGGTGTTTCTTAAAAGGCTGATAACACTGTAGCAATGTGAGAATACATTCAAATTTATTACATAGATAATGCACGTGGATCTCAGCTCGCAGAGACAAATGAGTACACAGTAACTTTTTGATATCCTTTTAACTCTAAGAAAAATGTCAATTATTAATTGCTGACTGTTTATATTTTCTAGAAAAAGTAAGCAAAACATTATTTTGTTTCATATGACAGATATGAATTGCATTAACAATCCTAGGTATTGTTGAAAACTCGTTGTTTTACATGCCAGATTAAGTAATTGGACCCCATCCTTGTTTGTACGTGACTGCTGGGGAAAAATATTAAATAATGTTATGCTTAATTAAAGAGGTGACACTTTCTATATTTTTATCTGATATCGAGTTGTAAGAGCCGATTTGCAGTTATATGGGTAAGAGTTCGATAAGACTCCCTACGGTCGTCTTAATACGAACTCTTACCCATACATAGCTTAGACGTCAAGTATTCTAATATCGGTGTAGTTTCTCACGGTAGCCTTGGAAACTATTGAGCGAATTGTTTCTGTGACAACGAATAAAAACATGTCGAAATCATTTCGCAGAATAAATTGATGTTCTTTCTTTTCTTGAAGTATATTTTTTACGTAATGGCCATTATGCTTTTTCTTAAAAGACTAAAAATATCAAACATTTGCATTATTACTTGTGATGACCTGTTTATCATTATATGTCAAACTGGATATGAACTTTGTTTTGTCATTTAATACGTGATTGTCATCGGAAGTCGCGATATCGATTTATCGTCTATTCTCCGCGGTCGATACGATAATATATACCGACATATGTTTATATATATCGGAGTTAGGAAAATCGATTATCAAAGTTGTAAAATATTAAATTAGCATTTTAGCATAATAAATAAAATTTGATTATAAATATATTGTCGATAGAGTATAATCACGACTTTATACATCTGATACTTCTGATTGCTTTTTTATCCAGTACTCGAGATATACAACACACAAAAATTGTTTTCTTGTGCGTCATACACTAATTGGTCTCGCTATAAAAATGCTCTGTTTTGAAAAGTATAAGCTATGTTCACCTTTATTTTCTCAACCATGCGAAACCATATGATAAATTAGAGAAAATGTTGCCATGTATTAGAAGAAGGAAGCGACAATAGCTTCTAAGTTAAAAGAAGAAAAAAATCGTTCTGATTCAATTCCACATTGTATGTTTTTGATTAGACGTATATTCCATTGTGTGTATGTTCTAAAAAAAATAAGTGTTTAAACCTAGTTGTTAATACAAATATAACACCAATATACATGGATTTTTCTTCTTCATACTAACACACTAGCTAGTCTGTTTGTGAATTTCATGATCAGTATGCAACATCAAACGTGAAAATAAGAAAGAAAAAATATATTTCTATAAGTAAATATTGTTTATATTTTCAGAAATTTTGTAACCGGTCTACTCGATGGAGGTACTCGTGAGAATTGTGCTGTTAATTATATCGGTTCAAGTCTATGGGTTGTCGTTCCATGTTACAAAAGATACCAATTTATTTGTAAAAAAGATGTCCAGATAGATTTAAAGTTGTGAACATCAGTATATATTTTTAATTCAAGGCTGATTGAACCTTTTGGTAATTAAAATGCTTGCTTTATTTACAATATTGTACAGTCATAACTTGTAAGATTGAATTTTATTTTATGCTTTTCAGTGGATTACTGATTTATCCGTGAAAATTATATTTGGTAATTTCACAGTGAAAATTATCAAAATATAATTTCACTTTTTTCAATGACGAAACTACTTTTTTAAGATTTCCCCATGTGGTACCTCAATTTTATTTTTGTTGACAATTCTGACAATGTCAGGCTGTTTAAAGAAAAAGCAAAGCTGAAATTGATAAATACCTTAAACGTCAAAATTACTTAAAAGAAGAAAACTTACTTCTATTCATTCAAATTCCAAACACCAAATTTCGTCTCTAAATTTTTTGTTTCATTTTTACAGTCTGAAAAATACATTCCTTCCACATGCAGACTGCTCTTGATGACATTTGGGCATATTAAAGTATCCTACGAGTAATAACTGCCGTATGCTTTATGAAAAATTGAAAAGCAATGACAGCTACAGCTCGTAGAACAATTAAACCACCCAGCGTTCCGAGCAAGTTCCAAGTCTTCCATTTTCATAGCTGCTTTTTTCATGTTTTCACATCTGTCAACACTTATTTTTTGTCTGTTTCAATCCTCAAATATGTTTTCTTTCTTTTAAAAAGGTGTATGATTAACAATTCCAAATGATATCCCTCTGAATCAAACACAATTATTTTCCTCCCGTGAAATACACAACTTTAAAAAATGGCTGCCGCTTACATTTAACAAAGCCAGGTCTAATATAAATTCGCAGTAAGTAACAGAAATATGGATGGATGGTTGGAATTTTCTCCTACACGAATTGTTTGTTTTTATTATTAAAACAAGCGATCATTCATATTTTTTAAACAAAATAATTAATATCACTGTCATTTAATGTTGACTGTCGGACTTATTTTTCAGCTCAAGACTTCTTGTTTTTAATGAGAAATTCGCACGAAATGGGGCTCTCAATGGGGAAACATATTTTAATATTTATGTTAATATTATGGAAATTTCGTTTAAACTTGTTTTTTAGCATAAAATAAAAAGAAAATTTGTTTGTTTGTTGTGTAAGATGTAATTTTATTTCATCTCGTGAACTTTAAAAACAGTATTCTCACTCGTGGCTACGCCACTCGTGAGAATACTGTTCTTAAAGTCCACTCGATGAAATAAAATTTCATCTTACACACAAACAAACAAATATCCTCTATATAATGCCAGTTTATATCATTGTAAAATTTTAACTTGTATGCCTGAATTTTTGCCTTTGTCTTCTTGGTTCAGTATGACTGAATATGTTGTTTATTTTGATCTAAAAAATCACTTAATTATCAGGTTGAATGATTTGACCTTTACAAAACATCTTTTCATTGGTCTAAATTTATTTATGCATCATATTGGCATTACAATTTTTTATTGGTCGTTTATATCATTGGCGGTAAAATATTTTCTTTCTTTTCTCCTTGACAATATTTGTCATTCTGTATAAGTTGACCATTAGGATCACATGTTTTTTAAATTGAAATTTCCCACCCTACAGTACCCACCCTTTAAACATTTAGATACTTTTTATATGAATGAATAAAAGTATTTGGATATTGGTTCATTCATTGATGTATTTCAGTGTTTAAACTGCAACATGTGTTGTTTGTACTGTAAGTTGAGTGACATTTATGTTGTTATGGTAGAGCTCTATTATGTTGTTGATGTCTTTGCCTGAGACTCATTGAATCTCAGGAAAGGCTAAATCTTGCAAGCTGGTAACGGCCAGTCTTGAAGATTATACTACTAAGGAGATGTTATGGCAATCTCTTAGTAGGTCTTTATGGAGAATATTATATTTGAATTATTATAATTGTATTTGCAAGATGAATAACATAGCATTTTGATTTGATGACTTATGAAAGTCACACATTGATAATTTGATTATATGTGCTTTGTGAATTTGATATATGATTCAAGTGATCCATGGTACACGTATACCTAAATACATTCTTTAACCTGAACTTTGCTTTTGTCTTTTATTATAAATGAAAACTTATAATTATAATTTTCAATTATATTTCTCTTTGATTTGTAATGAGAAAACTTTTTCTTTTTCTACCGTTCGTATTTTGAAAACAGCTCAAGTATTTAATGACATGTACATGTATAGGTTTTATCAATACATAAATCCGGATTGATAAGGTTTAAATTTCATTTCACAAGGCGGCAGCTCATTCCACTTTTCTCAGTGCTTAATAATTATGCAAGTAAAAACAACGTAGAAAAGGGGCATAATTCTGCAATGTATGAATGCATTTAATTTCTTTTTGAATATATAATGTCAAGTTAAAATAACTGCTCATTTGTAACACGCTTTATGGAAATAAAGATATAAAATGATGGTTTAGTTTTGTGTTGTTATTAAAGTATAGAATGAAATACACTCATAATGTTTTGGTGAATTATAAATTTTAGCAACATACATATTGGTTTTATTCTCCATTGAAAGAGTTGATAATAGAACTTGCTTACTACAGAATAAAAAAGTAAAAAATATAATTACAATATCGAAATTTGTATTAACTTTGTCAAAGAGAAAAGAAGTCGAGATATGACTCTCTCTTCGGTTAAGCTGAGGTTCATTTTACATGGAAAACTTGGTATATAAGTTTTCATTATCACGATGTGACGGAGATTATCCGAAAATATTTTATGAAAATTAATGCTCAATTTTGTATTTGATATCATTTTTACCCCTGTGAACCTTTTCGTCAAGGTCCATATTTTAGAGTTTTGCCTCGCAAAATGTAAAAGTAATAGCCTAATTAATAAGGCGTGAACGGTTTGACCCATTTTACATACGTTTTTTTGCCATACTGCCTGGAAAAAGACATCGTTCGTCAAAAAGTTTTCTCGAGGTCTCTTTGACAAGTTTATTATGTTGGAGAATAAAGGTATAAGCACCACGACTGTCCAGCTTTACCTTAGGTGCTTCTTCGTGCATTGTATAAGGCATAACTTGGCACCTTAGTAATACCACCGATTATCCGTAGGCTAGCTGGAAACACTTTCCCCACATGACAGAATCCAAAGTCCCTGGCGGACTTAAACCGACACTGCTGAAGACAAGTGTTATGAAGTAAATGACATTTACCACTGGACCATTGACGCCCCTTCATTAAAGTCCAGTTCTAAAACTAGAACTCCGCGAGTCGGATGTGTCGCCTTGTGAACGGTATAGCTGTCACTTATGTATTCTCTTCTTAAATAAAGGCTTTTTAACAACACCGCTCTTACTATGTACATGTACCTTGAACTTTAGTGTTATTTGAACTCATTGTTACAGCGTTACATCAGGATTAATAAACTTATAAAATATATATATATATAAATACCATTGAAAAATTTTACACTGACAGATCAAATGGAGGACTCTGTGATGGCTTCTTAAGCACTTCTCTTCAGTTAAATGGAAAAAAAACTTACATTATAACGGTAGCAGAATCGTTTGATAGATATTGTTTCCACTTCATCTGTAAGTTTAATGCCGAGATTTGCGTACATATATATTTTAACTTTTTACAGGAAATACCTAGTAACACTTGAGTCCACATGTGTGCTCTTTCGGCTCCTCAGCCTTACACAGAGCAATTCTTTGCCATTTATGTGACTTTTTGTACAGTTTCACGAGGGAATAGTTTGTCAATTTTTTGTTAAAAGAACAATTTTTGTACAAAATGACGCGTAACGTCAGCATTGTTCCAAATGTATGACACTTTCACAAACCAACCATGTGTTTTTATTATTTTGAGTATCGTTTCTGCATGTACTTATTTATCAAAGAATTGAAAACTAGAAATGTGTCATCATGCCACGGATGCCCCCGCTTGCAGCCAAAATTTCAAATGTTATAATAATTAGTGCCAAATTTGTTTGCACAAATTATTTTTTTCATTTTAAGTTCAAAGCCCTTAAAACGTTTCAATGTTAACACAAACCATTTTCATACAATGTTCAAGGCACTGAAATTATTCAGTCTAAACCTTTTGAAATTAGCATATTTCATATTTGTAGCCAAAATAATTGCTACATACATTTCAGTGCTGAAACTGAAAGTTCAAAATTTTTCCAACATTCAAGAAAGATAAGTTTGTCCAAAATCATTGAACCAAGACCAAATTCAAACTTAAACTGCTTATTCCTAAGATGTATCTATATTATTTTCAAAGTGAAAGGGACATAACTCTGCCAAAAAATCATCAAACCATGACCAAATTCAAACTTGACCTGCCCATTACTTTGACATATCCATATGTCAAAGATGAGTTGTTGGGTAGATAATGAACAGAAACTGTAAATTTCATATTATTTTCAAAGTGAAAGGGGCAATACTCTGCCAAAAATCATTGAACCATGACCAAATTCCAACTTGGCCTGGGCATTCCAAAAACATATCCATATGTCAAATTTGAGTTGAATATGTTGTACCGTTGGGGAGATAATAAACAGAAACTGAAAATTTCATATAATTTTCAAAGTGAAAGGGGCATAACTCTGCCAAAAATCATTGAACCATGACCAACTTTGAACTTGACCTGCGCATTCCTGTGACGTATCAATATGTCAAGTTTGAGTTGAATGTGTTGTACCATTGGGAAGATAATGATCGGAAACTGAAAATTTCATATTATTTTCAAAGTGAAAGGGGCATAACTCTGCCAAAAATCATTGAACCATGACCAAATTCGAACTTGACCTGTATTTTCTCACGACATATCCATATGTCACATTTGAGTTGAATGTGGTGTACCGTTGGGCAGATAATATTCAGTTTAAGCGCTTGAGTTTAAACTCTTTATTTTTACACTATACGTCACAGTATTTTTGCAATGACCTGTATATTTGGCTCCTCCTCCTAACAAGTCATTCAATCTCGTTCGCGCATGCTTAGTAGACTGGGTATATAAACCGAGCACGCTTCTGCAAATTCCTTTTCGATCCAGTCTCCGAGCTCCAGAAGCTGCCGTGAACTAACACGGAAAAATATTGGAGAAAAAATTATGTAGCGGTTCTGAACAAACATGGCAATAAGACTTCATTTTTGTGTTTTTTAAAGTAGCCGAAGGTAGAGTTGCTTTTCTTTATTATCTTTAATATTGTGTTAAATTTATATTATCTTACAAACCAATTTTTCAAATTTTATTACGACCACGAGATTTAGACAATCTAGATCTATTACCGATACTGTAGGCTTAAGGGCAGAGAAAGGTCTGAGAAAAAGTGATCCTACTAAAGACATTGTTGATACTATTTTGCAATACTGCAGTAGGTTTATTTAGCCTAATAAAAACAAAAATTATTTGATCACGTCATCACTAGACTTTATGACGTCACAAATACCTTGTGACTAGTGGAGTATACAGTGTAATAAATGCCCTGACAGTATGTTATTGTGTTAATGTTTATAAAGTATTGATAAAGAAACTTTATCTACCCATAAATTATGTTGAATGATTGTCCAGGTAGATCTATCCTTTAATATATTAAACTTTTCACGTAGGGATGCTTCATAATGGTTAGTAATGTCATTCGTAGACATTATAAGTCGTTATACGTTAACCTTGTATTTGTTGTAGACTCAGCATTTTAATTCTGATTTTATTCTACTTCTTTTACAAATTGCTGGGGCCATGCCAAACGACAACCTAACCTGTCACAAGTTTTTCTGGCTGTCAAGGTTTCTTTGAAGAGACTGGTCAACATTATGTTCTAGACAATGGCACCAGAACAGAACACAGAAGTCGGTAGAACCAGCAGAAGTTGTGATGCCTAAATCAAGCTAATTGTTGATACAGATTAACCGATAGACAGGTGACGTCACTGTTTTTAAATACAAATTATAGTTAAAATTTAATCTATGCTGTTTATGACAAAAATGACATTATCAATTAAATACACATATATTCCTTATTACAGAAGAGTTCTTCAAAAATGCAGAATATTAACAAAATGTCGGTATTTAACATAAAATATTCTTAAAAGCAACTGTAAGAAAATGTTTTAAACTTGGGCGGATACCTTGGAGTGATGGAATTTTTTGTAATTTTGCACATTAGTAATTATCTATTACTGTATCAAATAATACGATAGATCTAATTTATATAAAAAAATCTTTCCAGTACTGTCATGTTAAAAATCTCTTCAGTCGAGTACCTTTAAGTTATAAGACATCAAGGACCTTTAATTCAGAAAATGACAATAATAATAAAATATTGGGGGAGACAGGAAAAAGAAAAGTCAATTAATGATTTAAAATGGGAGAACATGTGACTATTGATACACTTACATCTAGTCATCACAATATTATTCTTTAACTTTTTGAACATTTCCCCTGTCTTCCAGAGATGTAAAATTATGTCTATATTACAATACATTCGAGTTAACATGAACTAGATATACGCTCTTGGTTTTGCTCAAAAATATAGTTTAAATCTAGGGAATATGCCTATTTGGATATTAAATCTGCATTCATCCTTTGCGGGAACATTAATTGTAAATAAACATTTGCCATTTTAAAGGGTCGGGTTGCACAATTTTCATTTTCAAAGTCAAGCAATAATTTCTAAAATTTTATAGATATCGTTCAAATCGCAGTAGTTTAAACCTATGACTTTCTGTCATTAGGTTAGGATTTTGGTTTTCTTACATTATAACATGTGACGTTTAGTTAAGTATTTACATATTAAGTGACTGAAATCGACGCCGAAAACTAAGCCATCCGAATTCCTCAGCATAATTTGCACAAATTCATGGTCTTGAGTGTGAGCATCAGTTTTGAGTTTTATTACTAAATGCAAAAACAAAAGTAATAATAATTATTATAATATTAATAATAATAAGAATGACAATAATGATGCAATGGTATGGATGCTATTGCTCAACGGTTTCGTCGTATCAATTTTAATGAGTTAAGGTTAAATAAGTTTTTGAATTTTATATTAAAGGCGATCATTCGGTAATTAACGGCATGGCTTATGGGGAGAATAGCATTTCTTGAGAAATTTTCTTTTAAGAATTCGTACCAAGTGGAATTGTTGCATGTATACATCTGTTAGGAAACGATGTGAAAAATAATATAATTAATACTGCTGAGAAATATGAAATTGTCATATAGACAAAATATATGGATCCATGAAGAATAAATGAACGTGTGATGAAATTTGCTTTCATCTAATATTTGTTTATCTTAAAAAAAAATAAAAAAAAAATAATAATAATAATAAATATATGTTCAATACAGAATACTATTGCTGATTCAATGACACGTTTTCAATGGTCAAGGTTATTTCGGGAATAGCCATTATGGCTATTCCCGGATTAACCACAACAGGCATCTAGGC